GTTGTTATGGTTCATGTTTTTCACTTGGATGACTTCATAGTTAATATTGTTACCAACTTTATGTTTGCATTTATCATTATCATTATCATTATTTCACCTTTTCTTTTCTAGTTTATATATATATATATATATATATATATATATATATATATATATATATATATATATATATATATATATATATATATATATATATATATATATATATATATATATATAGTTATTAATTCTTCTTCTATTACTTTTATTTATCTCGATTAAAATACAGAAAACTAGAAAAACCAAAAATAAAAACTCATACATCAATATTTTAATATACTCTAGACAAAATTACCTTTACAGATTCAGTCCCTAACGGTTAAATACTAACGGTGTTAGTAAAAAGAGCAATCTTTGTAAGTTTTACAAACCACAAGGACCATTTGCATAAAAAAATTAATAGGGATTGAATTTGTGATTTTTACCATTTTGAAGTTTCTTTTATAAAAATGAATTAATGGGCTAGAAAGAGGGAATGCTCGAACTAGCAACTTCCACCCCATTACATTCTAAAAGCTTTAACCATTGAATTCTCACTTGCTTATATCTTCCTAAAACTATTTTATATCATACGAAAACGTTAATTCATAAATAATAAATAAATTATAAAAAACATTTTTTTAAATAAAATAAAAATGTATTTTAGTTCGTATTATAAAAAAATAGTCTTTTACAAACAATTTGTATGTATTTTTATGTATTTATTTTATGTAAAATATATTTTTTTGTCTTTAAAAAATACGTTTTCGTATAAAAAATATGAGTTTTTATACGTTTTTTTTTTATGTCAAGAGTAATATTAATTATTGTTATTTCAAAAAGATATATTACTATTTCTTTTCATCTTCATTTTAACCATACGATTTAGAAACCATATAACTTGTTTAGATACATAACAAAATCGTTGTTAAGTTGTTTCTAATACATATAACCCAAACCAACGGTTTTAGAATTAGCGACCCAAAAGAATTTATACATTTTTTATATCATGAGTAGCGTTAATTATTTTTATTTCAAAGACATGAAAAAATGTATTTTACGAAAACATATTTTTTATACGAAAACGTATTTTTTAAAGACAAAAAAATATATTTTACGTAAAATAAATACATAAAAAAACATTCAAATTGTTTGTAAAAAACTATATTTTTTATAATATGACTAAAATACAATTTTGTTTTATTTAAAAAAATTATGTAAATAAAATGTTTTTTATAATTTATTTATTATTTATGTATTAATGTTTTCATTATAATATAAATCGAATTTAGGAGAATATAACCAAGTGAGCATTCAACTCAATTGGTTAAGGCTTTAGGAATGTAATGGTCTCCGTGGTTTTTTAAATATCACGAATTTAATCGCTTTATATTTGAAAAGACGAAACTAGCCTTACAGATTCAGTCTCTAACGGCTGAATACTAACGGTGTTAGTAAAAAATGTCATCTTTGCAAGTTTTACAAACTATAATGACTATTTGCATAAAAAAAATTAATAGGGACTGATTTTGTGACTTTTGGCAAATCATAGAGACTATTTTTGTAGTTTTGTCTATACTCTAGTATATTAATATATTTCACGCTTTTCATAATTTTTTTTTTTGGTTTTTTTTTCATGTATATATTTTATTTTTTTCGTATAATTTTTAAAATTTTTTTTATATTATTTTAAATTTTTTCCTATTTTAATTTTTTTCGCTGTTTTGTTTTATTTTTCATCAATTTGATAATTTTTTTTGACTTTTTTTCAAAAAGTGTAAAATGTACAAATATATAAGAGTTGATTACAATTTTGGTGTTTGAGTTTTTGTTTTTTGTTTTTTCTATTTTTCATTACTTAAATCAAAATAAATAAAAACAATAGAAGAATAATAAATAACTCAATTAAAAAAAATGGAAAAAAAAGTGAAATAATGATAATGATAAATGCAAACATAAATTTGCTAACGATATTAACTATAAAACATCAATGTAAAAAACATGAACCGTAACAATATAAAATTAAAAAAAAAAAAAAAAAAAAAAAAAAAAAAACAAAAAAAACATTAACACTTCAATTCACAAATAAAAAATATTAAAGAAAAAACGGTTTCGATATGGTTTATCGAATTTAAGTTTATTTACTTGAATCAAAATAAATAAAAATATTAAAAAACCATAAATAACTAAAATTATAAAATAAAAATAGAAAACAAAATATCAAAAGATAAAAATAAATAAATAAATAAATAAATAAAAGTTAAAAATTTTGGTATATATATATATATATATATATATATATATATATATATATATATATATATATATATATATATATATATATATACACACACACACACAATTTATATTTATATATATACAAACTTTCAAATTTATAAAATTACACAAATAGTCATTGAGGTTGTAATATATTACAAATTTGGTACAATGATGAAATAATTTTTTTTATTAAAATCTAATATCTGAAAAGATAAATTGAACTGCAGAAGAACTTTCATGTAATTTTGCAAACCATATTAACTAATAACATTACGTTTTCTCTAAAAATCCTCAAAATAAGATATTTTGCAAGTCACAGAAACCAATTATGAAATTTTGTCTTATTTTTATTAAGGTTTATTTTTAATTTCATTAGGTTTTGTTATGGTTGTTGAAGGTGGTCAGTGGCTGTTCCCGGAGGTTGAACTAGATCGGGGTGTCACAACATCATTTACATGACAGGGAGGAAAGAGGTGAGTAAGATGTTAGTTATTATAATAATAAATAATGAAAGATATAAATGAATAATAAAAAAGAAAAAATAGAAATAATATTTATTAAAGACAATATAGTCATATCATATCTAAAACGTACAAGTTTAAAAATAAAAAGGTGATACGTGCTAAAAATGAAATATAGGTACACAAAGCACAAATTGGGCCAAACAACACGAATGATTCTTGTAAAGTTGACTGGAGTGGTGATATAAACTTCTAGTGTGATGCGGAGTTGGCACCCTAGAGACGCCTTAACACCATCTCAAGGAAGAAGACGAAGCTTGCTAATAGTCGGCTTCTTTTTTGACCTTTTGGAGCCTTGGATGCAATTATAAAAAATTAAAAAAAAAAAAAAAATTAAAAAATAAAAAAAATTAAAAAAAAAAAAAAAAAAAAAAAAAAAAAAAAAAAAAAAAAACCCTTTTCTTTGAAGATGCGAAATATGGAAATATGCAGGTTCAAGTGAAGAAGAAATGTGTATTTTAATCGAAGGACACAACACCTCTATCAACAATTATCAAACTAAGTCTCTTAAGTTTGGGTAAAAAGCAAAACAAACCCGTTCCTAATTTGCTTCTCAACATGTTTTTAAAATTTACAAATTCGACTGTAGACTTTTATATTATTATTATTATTATTATTATTATTATTATTATTATTATTATTATTATTTATGTTTAATTATGTTTTTTTTCGTAATTTAGGTAAATTTCTATGTTTTTTTTTTTAATTTAGGTTTTAAATTTAAGTTATGTAATGGGTTTTAAGTAATGTAAATTATTTTATTATGTTTTAATTATGTTTTTTATTTAATGTAATCATAAACAAAATAAAAAATGAAAAAAAGAATATTATGGAGTGATAACAATTTTAATGAGTTGGTGATCAAGACATGTCGCTAAGTTAAAACGTTTTTTCCGATAGCTTGGTAGTGACCACTCTCCACAACCTAATTTAGTCGTTATATTATGAAACATATATGTGGCCGTTTACAAAGTCATATCACTTTTAGTATACGCTAAATAAAATTTTAATTTATGTACATATTTTGCCGGTAAATAATAAGTCATGTCAGTTTTTAAGATCCGCTAATGATTATTTTATTTTTATAAATCACAATATGTTGCCATTTATTTAATTATTTAAATAAGAAGTTATCTCACTTTTAACCCATACTAAACCGAAAATAGAAGATAATCAAAGTTGTTGCAGTCGAAACTTCTTTAGAAAATAGATGGCTTTAATCGAACCAAATAAAAATAACGGTTAATTACATTACAAAGATGATCAAAATATAATGGCTTATATATATATATATATATATATATATATATATATATATATATATATATATATATATATATATATATATATATATAATATGAATGATGCAATCTTTTTGGATTTCACAAAACATTGCAGACAAGTCAAAAAAAACCCGTGAGTCAAGTTATAAAAACATGTCTTAAAATCGAAAAACATATTCAACTTTTTAAGAACAAACTTTATGAAATCTAACAAAAAAATGTGCTATATAACTGAAAAGACAGTAATGATAAACATTTTGGATTTAAGAAACAAGAGAAAATTTCTTTAAAAGAATTTTGTTCAAATAAAAGCAAATTCCAAAATCCGAAAATGACCTATTTCGAACTTATAGGGTGTGTTCAACAAAACTAATTGATAACGAATAGTTTGTAACTGGTAACGTTTTGTTAAACGCTACGTGAAGTAGTATTTGAATTTGAAACATTTTGTTTAAACTAAATGCTAGAAGCTTGTAATGCAAAACGAGACATTCTATTCAAAACGGAGCGTTTTTTTCAAAAAGTAGAAACTAAAAGCTCTCTAACGCACTGTGTCCAACACGCTCATAATCATTCCAATAAATGCAAAAACATTGGATCGTCACAATAATTTAAAAAACGATTGCTCCTAATTGAAAATGTAGGGCTTGATGAGGGAAAACCCTATTTTATTAAGGTATTTCTTTATTTATTGTTATTAAAAATTTTCACATTAAATAAAAAATAATACTCTAGCTAATCAAAACAGCTTTTAGCATCTTATTTACACCTTCTATTCCTTGATTGATTTAAAGGAAATGAACAGTCATTTCTGTCTCAGTGCCTCCGTATCTTTTGAGCTTTTTTGCATTTCGTGTCCATTTTAAGTGGACATGCTTGCAAGAAAAAAACTGAGTGCATAGATTGACATTTGATGGTTTTCACTTTCTTCTTTGTATGGAGTAAAATGAGTAAATCGGCCTATGGAACTCATGTTTCGGACAAAAAAATAATAATATCTATTTAGTTTTTTCTTTTGGAAAAAGCTTTTGAAGACTACATAATTTTGTTGGATACATTCAAATCAATCACTTTAATCAATTCTAAAATTGGCTCTTGTTTTGATGAAGATGAAAGCCATGAAAAAAGCTCACAACGAAGCTCATGCAACAATGGAGGCGACTTCTCAACAACCCTCTTCACGTGTTTAATAGCAATACCTAACTCTCTGGCATCCACAAGACATTTTAGCAATATCATGTTGTACTCCAAATGTTCTTTAGCATATGTATAATCATCCACCAACTTTGAAGCAACAATAAATTCACCTACAAACAAATAAAATAAACCGACTAAATCACCATTTGCCATTGCATTCCAAAAAAAAAACAAATTTCAGAGTATTCAACAAGTTTATTGTGAGTGTAGAAAATAAGATAGACAAACAGGTAAAGGGTTAGTGTCTTAATACATTAAGCCATGTTTTTTGGTTTAACCAATCAAGTCAAAAAGGAGTAAAACTCAAAGGGTTAGTGTCATAAAAGCCCTTACGTTTTCAAGAAATATTCGGTTTTACCCTTTGGCGTCTTTTGGGTTCACTAAAGCCGGAAGTTTGTATAAGATTTTTCATTTTTTCCCTTTTAGCAGGTTACCCGTTTACTAATAGGTTGCCTACACACGTGGCTTGAAAACTTAAGGGTAAAACCGAGTATTTTTTGAAAACGTCAAGGCTTTTATGACATTAGCCCAAAAAAATATAAAAACATTTTTTACGTCTTGTAAACATAAAGATATGATAAATATTTTTAATATATATATATATATATATACACGTTTGTATAAATTTTTTTTATATATTTTTGGGCTAATATCATAAAAGCCCTTAAGTTTTCAAAAAATATTCGGTTTTACTCTTAAGTTTTCAAGCCACGTGTGTAGGGAACCTGTTAGTAAAGGAGAAACCTGCTAAAAGGGCAAAAATGAAAAATCTTATACAAACTTTCGGCTTTAGTGAACCCAAAAGACGCCAAAGGGTAAAACCAAATATTTCCTGAAAAACGTAAGGGCTTTTATGACATTATCCCAAACTCAAACCATTAAAATTTCAGTAAGTACCTTCTCTACAAAGATAAAGAACGAACTTTCCCAATATACCCTTCGCAATCTCTACATCATGTTCGAAAGACTTGTTAAACACTTCAAGAGCTGTCTCAACTTCATTTTCTTGACAAAACCCTTTAATCAGAACAACATAGGTTGTTTCATCGGGCAGCACTCCTCTCTCCAACATCTGCCCGAAAACCCTATGACCCTCTTTCACCTGCCCGATTTCAGACAACTTCTGGATCAAAATATTGTAACTTTTCAAATTGGGTTCACATCCATTTGCAAACATTTCATCCCACAATCGTTTAGCAGGGCGAATCATATCTTCCTTACAACAACCTTCCATAACATGATTATAACATGAAATATCTGGACCTAACCCTTTTCTCTTCATCTCTTGAAGAATCTCATATGCTTCTTTCACTTTTCCCGCTTTACAAAAGTACAAAATCATCACATTATATCTTTCAATATCCACAAAATACTCGTTATCCGATAGAATCTTGAAAATTTCCACTAATTCGTTATGGTTTCCATGTTTACATAAGTTTCTACACAAATTGTTGAGTGTAAGAAGAGTGGGGAATCTTTCGTTTGAAACTAAGGATTTGAAGAACATCAATGCAGCTTGAGGATTGTTGGTTGATACTGATCCTATTAATGTGTTGAGAACATCATCTTCAATTGGGAAATTTCCGTTTATGATTATTTCACCTAAATCTTTGGCTTCAGAAATTAGTCTTTCGGAAATTAATTGAAATATGAAGTTTTTGTAATCGCTTGTTCTTGGTGCAACTCCAAGTTTTCTCTTCATCTTCAAGACTTTCTCTACTTCGACTACATTCCCTGTTTCTCTAAGGGCTTCTGCAACGATTCTGTATGCCATGAAATCAGGTTTGCAGTGTCTTTTTCTTAATATATCGAGCATATACATAGCTTCATGCACTCTACTCTCTAAACACAACCCGTGAAGAATCAAAAGTGCAAGAATCGAACCGTTTACACTTGAATTTTGGTTTTGGATGTTATCCAGGAAGCTCAGAGTTTTATCTAGTTCAGCCGTTTTGGTAAATCTCCATAGAAAAACACCAATTCCAAGTGTAGAGAAACGAATATCTCTTGTGATCATTTCATCGAACACTTGGTGGGCATAACTCAAATTCCTAGTACTAGAAAGAGCCGCAAGTAGCGAATTACAGGTATCAGGACCAATATCAGAGATCAAGAATCTAACATCATTGAATACCGAAAACGCGTTGAGAGGTTTTTTTGCGGCGATATGTGATGTGATAATAGAGCGGTAGACGGAAGAATTGAGTTGAATTTTGAGAGTTTTGATTTGCTTCATGAGCGTATCAACAGCGGTGGATTGGCGGGAGATGGAGAGGGATTTGAGGATGGATTGATAGGAAATGGAAGTGTGGGTGAATCCTGGTTGCTGAGAAGCCCAGTTGAAGAAGCCGAGTGCGAGTGAATGGTGGTGGATGAGGAAAGGGTCGATGACTCGGGAAACGAGTGTTGGGTTGAGGGAGTGTCGGCAACCGATTCCATGGAGGGTTTGTTCGAGTACCGGGGTCCATGTCCGTGGTGCTGCAGATTGATCGGCGGCGGTGATCAGTGCTCTGCTTATCCGGTTCGCTAATTCGGTTGTTGAATGTTTCATATGCATGTGCATAACAGAGCAATGATGCAATTAGCCGTTTTAAACTACTGCTTCCTATGCTATAAAAATAAAAAAAATAAATAAATAAATAAATAAACAAAAAAAATTTCATTCATATCCTTCGAAACTTTAAATATTACTTATATATCCTTATAAATTTTAAAATTACATATATATCCACCTAAAATTATAAAGCTAGCATCTATATCTAAATTTATAATTTAAATAAATTTAAACTAATTAAATAGTATAAAACTATCTAAAAATCAAAATTACTTATGATTATACTAAAATACCCTTCTCAAATTAAAAACTAAATTAAACCAATTTAACAGTCGTTGTTGCCAAATCTCGACGGCCAAACATTATATGCAAAGATGGTTACATATGAACACCAATAAGAATTATATTCAAAAGGTATGAAACGTCTTAACATGAAACAAAGATTTGACCTATCAAATGCCAATTACGCCAATTGATGACGAGTAAGTTTCATAACCCCAATTTAACTTATTAAAAAATTCCATATGTGATCTACCGACTTGTTTTCTGTGTTGATTTATAATTTACATTCCATAATTTAAACTATTAAAAAAATCATTATAAGATTTAGGCATAATAAAGAAGATGGGAACCGGACGTAAGCTTCGATGCAGTAGAAATGGGGTAGGAAGGTTTCTAATATTCAATTAGGTTTAATCCTAATTAAACAGGTTTAGTGTTAATGTTTAATTTATGAACGGTATTTTAGTACAATCATATTAAATTTTGATTTTTGGATAAGTTTTTTCATATTAAATTAATTTAAATCTAATTAAATTATAAGTTTGTATATATATATATATATATATATATATATATATATATATATATATATATATATATATATATATATGAGTTTTATAGTTTGAGATGTATATACATGTAATATCTAATGTTTTGAGATGGATATACATGTAATATCAATATTAGAAAGGATATATAAGTAATATCTAATGTTTTCAAGGATATAAACGAAATTTTCCTAAAAAAAAAATAATGAACCTACAATTTTGCAATTCATGTCTTTTATGTCTTTGAGTAGCATCTACCTAACAAATAAAAATTATTTTGTTTGATCAATGTCATTTTTTTAAACATTAAAAAGAAATCACTTATCATTTTCCTAGTCTTTTATTTTCATTTAATTGCAACATCAATATATCCTTTAATGACAATGCGACAACTATAAATTGATTCATTCTTCTTTATTTTACTAAATGTAAGGATATATCTACAGAAGTTTACATTGTATAAATACAATGATTGGTATGAATTTTTTTATTAAACTAGTGTAATATATTGGTCTCACTTCTAGTTTGAAACTAAAGTGGATGTTTTTTAGGAGTATTATCCATGTTATTGTTGTCAAATAAACTATAAGTTTTGATCTTAGGCTATATATGGAATGTGCTCAGAATGTGGTATGTACTCGACACATAAGATGCCCTTAGCTCGGCATAACGAGTCTGGTGTCAATTCGGCAGTGTGATATCCATAAGAGACAGTGCATGGAGGGTTTTTTTTACCACTTAAAAAAAATGCCACATGTTTCAAATATGGAAAATGACACATTAACCCAATAGTGTTTTTGGAATTTGTTGAATCAGTCCATAAAGTTTTATTGGTGCTTTATGGGGGCATAAAGTTGACTTTGTCTAGTCTAAAAAATCATTTTGAACATTTTGAAGTGGTAAATCAGCTACTCCATTGCCACATGGACACTTGTTGTCCTCTTTTTCCTTAGCCCACATTGACTTTCAAAAATTCTAAAATTTCCTTATCCACATATACGAAACATAAATATTAGTTCCCCCTCCCCCCTCCCCCCACCCCTCCCCTAAATTTGGCAATCTACTGCTCGAATACCATCTAGCGCCACCATCATCTCCATTGAGCACCACTAAATCTGCACAAAAAACGAAAGTAAGTTGAAGAAAGAATCGCGTAGCATCGATGTTTCGCCTCATCATTTACTACCTCCACTCGTCACCGACACCACTTATAACTGTAATCTCCAAACTTGTCATCCAAACATGTATAAAATGTAATAACCTCCTACAAACTTGAAATCCTTTGTGGCGGATTTTAATTTTAGGGTTTTGTTTTGGATTTTATCCTTGATTAAGAGAGAAAGAGTTAGATAAGGTGAAATATAGTGTTAATTGGGTATGGGTATTGTTCTCTATGCGTTTGATCCCGAAGACCCAAAAGATATAAGAACGTAAGTTGTATGTTACCACACAGAGAGAGAGAGAGAGAGAGAGAGAGGGGGTGGGGTGGTTACATGATAAAGGGGAAGCGGTGGTGTGTGAGGGATAAAAATGTTCGTTTTCAATGATGGTGAGATGTTTTATGATCTCGTCAAACAACAAAAAACTGGGTCAAAATCGGATGTGTTGATTTTAGTAGGAGCTTACTAGATAGTACGTAAGCTTTCAAATAGGTATGTAGCATATTTGACTGGTTATTTTAGGTTAGGGATCAGATAAGATAAACATGTTATAACTCACCTTATGCCCAATAAAGCACCAAAAAAAATCTTTAGGGGTTGATTCGAAAAATTCCAAAAACATTTATAACCGTTTTTTTTTCTTTCAAAATTTCAAATTTTAAACTATTAATCAACCTATATAAATACCCAAATCCTTCTTTACTTTCCTCCGCATTCAAACATTCTTAATTCACCTATCATAACTTTCTTTATTGTCACCATCTTTTAACCTTCTTCATCTCTCAAAATGGTTCGTATGTGGAAAAAGGTTGAAGAGATAATTTTGGCTCGTGCATGGGTAGATGTAAAGAAAGATCCAAATCACATCAACTACATAGATGCGCCTTCTTTCTGGAATAGAATCACCCAGCCATACAACTGCGAAGTAAGTGAAGAGAGCCTCTAAAGTAAAATCAAATATTTGTCAAATGGAGAGCAACAAATGAAGTTGCAGTACAATTTCACATTGTGTTTTGTAGGATGAGGAGTAACAAACCTTTCCAGTTTGTAGAGTTTTGGTAAGTTATGAGAAAATCCGAAAGATGGCATCAATGTTTCAAATGAAGTTGTTTTGCGTGATATTTTAATTTCAAGCACGTTTTAATGTTTATTATGTTTTAATTTCAAGTTTGTTGTGTTTTATTTTAATTTCAAGTTTTTTTGTGTTTTATTTAATTTTAAATGTACTCGTGTTTTTAATTTAATGAAAATTTAATTATATGTAAATTAATATATTAGTTTTTGTTCTTTTTGCGCCAAGATGGTGATGTTGCTCTAACCTATATGTTATTGCATCATCCTTGAAGCCTGTTGCGCCATCCATACACTTGTTATGCCATCATGGCAAGATGGACCATCTTGGTCCCTAATGAGCCAAGTATGCTATGAAGTCCTTGATGGGTTTTGGTCATAAGACATCCTATGTGCCCATACAAACCCTAATGCTTGGATCTAGGTTTCTCTATTGTACATGCTTTGAATCCAAGACTATAAAACCTAATTCTAGCATACATATAATCATATTAACATGAGAATAAGTTTATAGTGTTACCTTGATTGTTATGTAGCAATAACAATCCCAAATCTCCTTGTATTGACTTTGGAATGCTTAGAGTCACAAGTGTCACTCCTCTAATGGCTCACAAACACCATAAGCAAGTGGAGAAGGTATAAGGAGAGGGGTGAGAGGTTAGAATTCGTATCTAGGACCTCTTGGGAAGGGATACACGAATTCATAGCCCTAGGGGTGTTTATATAGGTGTAGAGATAGGGTTTCAGTCATTATCCTTATCTAGTTGATTATCCATTAAGCAACCAATAAGATAATCCTTGAATCCTTATCATACTCGAATTCTAAGGGATTTACACCTCAAATTCGTTCACCATATATATAAGATAATCCTTACCTTATTTTGTAACTATCACATAATTACAAATCAGCCCCTCTAGTTTAATTAATTACATTTGATCACAAAACTAATTCTTAATTAATTATTGACCAATATTAATTAAACAAATATGATTTCTCCTTTAATATATTATTCTTATAACATATTAATAAATCATATTATCCTCTCTCTCTTTATTCATTTCTCCAATCAAGTTGCTTTGGTGAAGGCAACCCAAAAGGACCATGCACCATCGGGTCAAGTACATACCAAAATAGTTATGGACTTAGACACTAATCCAACAGTCTCCCACTTGGATAAGTCTAACAACTATTCTGCGTATGACTTCAGATCCTGATCTGCAATCGTAGCTTTCCAAAGCCGCTGTCAACTCTGATCATATCAGATACGTGTGTCCTTAGATAAGGGATCATATATTCCTCCATTCTAGATATCGTATGAGATATGATTTCTAATCATTCTCTTTGTACTACATCTCGATTTTCGATTTATGACGACAGACTAATTGAACAAATCAAATTAGCCCTAGCCCGGCCGAGCATTTACGTATGTCATCACTAAACCATCGAGGGGCCCAAAGATATCGCTTTTATCCTACTTTGGATAAAAGGAACGGATAAACTTTGATACAATGCTCGCTTGCACTCACTCACCGAATTACACACAACAATATGTTTTATAACACCAAGTTACTAGTGCGTTTACATATTATCAATGTGCAACCGATTCGCAAGATACAACTCACACATCTCGGTTTCAAGAATATAAGATGTTATCGTCTCACCAATCACTCGTAATACAATTCATGGAGTGATCCAAGTGAGCGTGGGTTTAATCCAATGCTCAAATCATATTCATAAGCACTCATGAACGTTGCAGCAAACATTTGCTTATGTCTAATACTCTTCTAGACAATCCACACACCAATTCACGACAGTCTTCATTCATATCTACTTCCAACATATGAACGACTGTGGCCCGTTTGAATAATTCGATTATTCTTAATAAACTCAATTATTCTGGAAGTCAAAACATGCAAGGTGAAACACAAGAATAATACTAATCCCATATGGCCTCAAACC